TCCTCAGACCCTCCTCTTTCACAGACACTATGTCTGGTATTTACATCTATATACTGCGTTTCTATATCCTTTAGTCAGTTAGTTTCAGTCATAGAGTGCAAGCACTCAGTATACATTAAGTGGGGACATACAATGCCTTTCCTTCATAGCCTGGCTTCCTTCACTCAGCAGTAAGTCTTTCATATTCATCCACTTCCTGTCAAAAGTCAGGGTTTTGTTGTTTTTTATGTATGAAGAGAGAGTTCCTTTTAAGTAGCATATGTGATGGTTAGTTTTGTATATCACATTGGGTGGGCTATAATAACCACTTATTTAATCAAACAGTAATCTAGGTGTTGCTGTGAAGATATTCTGTAAACGTGGTTAACATCTACAAAAGTACCCTTGATAATATGGTTGGTCTCATTCAGTCATTTGAAGGTCCTAAGAGCAAAAGTGAGGTTTCCTAGAAAAGAAATTCTGCCTCAAGATGGTAGCATTATTTTTTGCCTCTGTTTCCAATGGTAGCATTAATTTCTGCCTCTCTTTCCAACATTGTGACCTGCCTTACAGATTTTGGACTTGCCAGCCCCACAATCATATCAGCCAATTCCTTAAAATAAATCTTTTTATATGCATACATATAGGGAGTAATCTTTAAAAAGTTCATGGAAAATGCATATTACCAAAAAAACTGCATGGATTTCGTGACCTTTTTTTGCATCAAAATATATAAAATTGTCTCTCTTTCTCTAGAAAATCCTGATTGATATGGTGCATTTTTAAAAATAAGTAAAGTCATCATCTGAAAATAAAGTGAAAGAACAAGGGAAAATGAGCAAGTACAAGAAGTTTTTGAAAAAGTCTTTGCATAGAATAGAAGAGTAAACTTGCAAAGGAAACAATTCAGTTTTTAAGCAATGGTAAGGGTTCAGCAGAGGTTATTAAACAGAATTCCCTCCTGTCCTTATCTGTCTGGAAAGCTATTTCTTCTGGAAGGCTTTCACACCTGCTGTGTGTTGGGGACTCTTTCTTGCCCTCTCCAGAAAGGATTATTCATGGCATTATTCATGTCCCCACTGAACCTATTATGTCTTGTTCACCATTGTATCAAAATGAACAATAACCAGGCTGGTTTGTGAACTAGATGTTAAGGGAGCTGAATCCCACATGGCCTACCTTGTGATTCAAATCCCAGCCCTGGTATCTTGAAAAACATGCCAGGCACATGTGTGTCCCAAATCTCAACGAGATGGAGACCTAGAACCGAGGAGATTGTAGCACTGACCATATCCCATTGGGGAATGCTTTTTCTCCCTTCCTTTTCCCTCTCATTGTCTTCTGTCTCCCCCCTAACTCACATGTGCCCTCTGGCAAATTAAAAGAACAATTACCAGACATATAGCAATTATTTTCTCCGTAGCACTTACTATCATCTCATATAAATACTTAGTAATTTGTGCATATTATTGATTAGGCTCTAGTCTCAGCATCTTATGTACATTAGTGGGTTTAATTCTCACAGCAGCCCTTTAAGGTAGACAATATTATTACCATCTTCATTTTAAAAAAATGAGGGCCCAGATATGGTGGCACACTGCCAAGACACTGCTTCACAGATTGAGACCCTGTGTGGAATCCAAACAGGATCTCTGTTACCTGATTATCCTATTTAAAATTACAACTATTCTTCCCTGAGACATTCCTGATTTCCTGTATTACTTGGATTATTATTATTATTCCTGTATTTCCTTCTTACTTGCAGATAAAGATTATTATACATTATTCATTTTTCCCCCACAAGTATTGGGTTGTCGGGGAAGTCATAACACATTTTTGCATAGAAAAACAGAAAAAACATCATGACTTTACCAACAGTTGATCACCTGTTCACGGTGCCTAGCATAGAGACTGAGGATAGAACAGGGAGCAACCAGAATCTCTGCTGCCATGGAGCTTGTATGTCTAGTCAGATGAAAGAGGCCATGTGCAAATAAAGAAGTATTTATATGAGATGGTAGTAAGTACTATAGAGAAAAATAATGGGGACCAGCAGTTAGCGTAATGGCTATGTCGCTGGACTCCCACGTAGTCAACTGCGGTTTGCGTCCTGGACCCGGTGCTTAAACTCATGCTGGGCACGTGTGCATGCGTGCCCAAGATCCTGAGAGGAGAAGGGATTGCAGCATGACCATCCCCCCTGGGGGGTGATTTCTCGCTTTCTGTCTCTCTGTCTCTCTCTGTTTGGCGAGCGCACGCGCCCTATAGTGAAAACCTCTCAAAAAAAAATAATAATAATGCAGGATAAGGATGTTGGGGGAGCATTGCTATTTTCTACTGGATAGTTAGGGAAAACCTCAGTAATAAGGTGGGACTTGAGCAGAGACTTGAAATGAGGGAGCAAGCCTTGAGGACATCAGGAAGACAAGCACCCCTCTGTTCAACTAGTGGTGTAAGCCACTAGTTGGCCCCCAGTATCCATTTTCCTCTTTTCTCTTTAGTCACAGAACCCTTGGCTTTTATCTAGGCATATGGCCACTGAAAATAAAGATTAGATTGTGTAGGTTTCCTTACAGCAAGATTTGGCCATTGAAGTGATTGAGTGATATGTACAGTTGCCAGACTATATCCTAAGAAGCATATGCCTTCTCTTTCTCCCGTCTCGCTAGTTGGGATGGGACCTGGCAGACATGGTGGTGAACTCTCTTAGACCTTGAAGACATGATTACTTTCCTGAAGAAGACAGAACTAAAAGATTACCTGTTAACACTGGAGTACTTACAATTGAACAGTTACACAAGAAGAAAAAAATAAACTTCTCATTATATTTTAGGTCTTTATTCAGTGCATATGTGTAGTAGGCGATTTTTTTAAAATTTGGCAGTAGGCACGTGCACTCACCAGAGAGAGAGGAAAAATGAGAAGCACTCGCCTATAGGGAATGGTCATACTGCAATCCTGTCTCCATTTCTCCCTTCTTTGGGACTTTGGACATGCACACACATATCCAGCATGTTTTTCAAGCCATTGAGTTTGTTACTTGAACTGCACAGTAGGCCATATGGGATCCAGCCACCTAACCACCATGTCACCAGCTAGCCCTATAGACAAAATTTTAAGATTTAATCTCTCTTAGGTTTCCTACCCCATGATGTACACAACCTGCATGTTTCAGACTGTGAACGTAAGAAATTTACTTCTGTGATAGATTATATCATATAGCATAGGTGACCGTACAAAAGGAATTTGAGTGGACCTGACCTAATCACATGAGCTCTTTAACAGCTAAGAGTTTCCTTTGGCTGATTGCAGAAGAGGATCTCAGAAAAATATGAAGCATGACAATGATTTGAGGCAATGTTGCTGGCTTGAAGATGGAAGGACAATGTGACAAGGAAGGAACGCGAACTCTAGAACCTGAGAGCGGCCCTTGACTGCTCGCCAGGAAGGAAGCAGGGACCTCAGTCCTACAACTGCAAGGAACACAATCCAGCAAACAATTAGAATGAGCTTGGAAGTTGATTCCCCTCCTTCCAGAACCTCCAGAGGAGAATTCAGCCCACTCAACACCTTGACTTCAGGCTTATGATACACTGAGCAGGGAACCCAGCCAAGCCATACTGGACATCTGATCTACAGAACCGTGAAAAACTGCATGGGTCTTATTTTTAAGCTGCATGGACTATGGTATTACACAGCCGCAGAAAACACGTGTTAGTGAGGGCATTCCAGAGAAAGAACCAGTAGGATGAGAAGTCCCACAATCTGCTATCTGCAATCTGGAGAACCAGGAAATCTGGTGGCTTAATTCAGTTCTAAGTCTGAAGGCCTGAGAACCAGGAGTGCTGATGGCCAAGGACAGTAGAAGATGGAAATGCAGGGACCAGCAGTTAGCGTAATGGCTATGTCACTAGACTCCCATATAGTCAACCGCGGTTCGAGTCCTAGACCCAGTGACTCAAACTCATGGAGTCCAAGAACCGGTGGCTTAAACTCACTCCGGGTGTGTGTGCGTGTGTGCCCAAGATCCTGAGAAGAGAATGGAGGAGAAGGGATTGTGGCATGGCCATCCCCACTGGGGGGTGATTTCCTGCTTTCTGTCTCTCTGTCTCTCTCTGTCTGTCTGGTGAGTGTACACGCCCTATAGCAAAAACCTCTCCAAAAAAAGAAGAAAAAAAGAGAAGAAAATGGAGATGCAGTTCAGAGAGCACCTCCACCTTTTCTATTCAGGAACAGATTGGATGATACCCACTCACGTTGGTGAGGGAGATCTTTATTCAGTTCATCTACTCAAATACTAATCTCTTCCTAATATCCTTAAATACACACCCAGAAATAATGTGTTACCAGCTACCTGGGCATTCCATAGCCCAGTCAAGTTGACACATAAACATAACTGTGTCTCCAAACTGATACACATGGGGCACAGCATGTATGTAGGCTTTGAGGTTAGAGTATGCTTCGTGTGATCCAGGCATAGCAGGAGTAAAGTGAACATAGATAGAGAAGGTCACAGAGGTGGCAGGCAGCTCTCAGCAGTGTGTGTGAGTGTGTGTATGAGAGAGAGAGAGGGAGAGAGAGAAGTCAAAGGTGACTCCAAGGTTTTGAACCAAGCAACTGGGAGGAGGTGGGGATGCCACAGACTTGCCATTTGCTGAGACTGGGAAGACAGCAAAAGGTCTCTTTTTGGAGAATGGATAGGAGTCTGGTTTTGGACATTTCAAGATTTTAAATTTGAGATACCAGATATCCAAGTAGAGAAATCAAGTAGGCAGTGGGTTTATAAGTCTAGATCTCAGAGGAAAGGTGGGCTGAAATTTAATATTTAAAAAATTATGCATTGGGCCATCCGGTGACATGGATCCTACATGGCCAACTGTGCGATTTGAGTTCCAGATCTGGTATCTTGAAAAACATGCCCAGTGTGCATGTGTGTGTGTGTGCACACACGCTCAAATTCCTGAAAGAATAGAAGAGAAGGGATTGTGGTGCGTCCATCAGCCCTGGGGTGGGGGGTGATTTCTCACTTTCACTCGTTCTCTATCTGGCAAACCATGCGCACTCTCTAAGCAAATTAAAATAAATACATAAAATTAAAAATCATGCATCTACTCCCATACCCCCACATCACAACTAAATGTTGCACTCTCCCTGCTCAAAGAGTCTGTCTTTTCTGAGTTTCTTTGGGGGAAGTAGAGTGGGGTAGATGGATAAATTGAGATGGCAGTGGAGTAGTCCCAAAGGCATACCTTGTTGGAACCTGGCACCAACTTAGACCAGCAAACGGATAAACAGACACATGGATTACACCTGCTCACCCATCAGGATTGCAAGTCCCTAATAAACCATGTCACCCCGGTTCTGCCTGTCCCAGGTCTGCTGGCCGGCCCCATAGGCGAACTCGGGTCTGGGTCCCGCCCCTCTGGCCCTACTCCCTCAGTCCTCTCCTCTTTCTGCCTCCATGCCCCCTATTCCCACGCGCCGGTCCCCTAGAACTACTGGGGGCGGGAGGCTCGGGCCTCCTGGGCCTGGCAACCGTTCTAACAGCTGGGAGTGGGTGGAGCTGCGGGCGAGATCTGCCCCCTTCGCCCTCCAGGACCTTCACTCGCCCCTGCTCCTGCCGGGAGGGAACTCCTTTCGGACGCTCCGGTGGCGGTGGCGGTGGCTGTGGCTTCCCCGCCGCCTCCCAGTCACAGCCCGCTCCTTGGCCCCTTCCTCCTGTCAGCTGCCCGCCTGGCTCCCCGGCTTTTTGTGCCCACGACCTCCTCAGCTCGCTGGCAGAAACGGCTTGCCACCAGGCTTTGCTGCCTGAGTGACGGCTGTGCCTCTCTGCAGGCGGTCGTCAGCCTCCACTCCGAGTGTTCCTGCCTGTGGCCAAGGTGCTCTGAGTGAGCCTGTCGCTGTGTCGGAGTGCTGTCGGAGTGGGCGATTACTGTGTGGGTGGCCATGGCTGGGGTGAGGGAGGGCCGGGCCCAAGTCTAATTTCCTCCACGTCTCCAGCAGGCAGTCCCCAATGAAACCCCGTCAGCAGACCTGGCTCTCCTCCCTCCCCTTGCCTCCTACACACCTCAGGCCAGGTGAGGGGCACTGGGTCCTGGGAGGTAGGAAGAAACTCTTGGGGAGGGGTCCCACGCTGACCAGGGACTGCTTCTTATCAGTAGTGGGGGAAGCTGCAGGAGGAGAGCTAGGGGCTCAGGAAAGGTCTCTGCTGGGCAGCTCTATTCAGGGCTCTGTCCTGTGTCATTTCTCCTATCCCACTGCCTCTGCCCATACCTGATGGCCCTTCTCTGACCCTCTCCTGGGCTGGGCTGCACTGAGCAGGTGAGGCCCAGCAGCCAAGAGCCTGGAACTGGCATCTGGAACCGGAGCTGTGGGCAAGATCCCTTCGACAGCAGCTAGACGCCCAGCTGCGCCTCGATTCAGAGGAGAGGAGGGTAGGTTCATCTCCTGTGGAGGCCCTTGAATCTTGGTACTCTGTATGTGTCCTGGACAGCAAAGGACAGCCTGGGACCTGTCAGAGCAAACAGGGCCAGTTCCTGAAGGCAGTGGCTGAGTCAGAGCAGCCCTCTGCACTGGAGCTCCTGTTAGCTGAGCTGGAAACTCTGTTCGCAGCTGTGCTGCAAGACAGCAGCCCTGCAGCTTGGCGCTACCTGCATGCAGTACTGGGTCTGCTGCCTCCCTATCGTGAGTTGCTGGTGGGTCACCTGGATCTGCTGCCCTTCCTGGAGCAGCTGTCCTGCTGGGCACCCTGGGTGCAATCCCAACTCCACCTGGACCTGCTAGATGCCATGGACAAGGCTTTCCCCCCAGACATCTCTCTGTTAGACACTGCCTCCCATGCTGACTGCCATCCCCAGAAGCAGAAGTTCGGTCGTGTGCCCCCATGCCCAGCCTGTCCTTTTGTGCAGACATGGTTGGCTGGGCAGCAAGTAAAGGAGCTGGCCACATGGTTGCGGCCACTGACATTGCCTGAGTTCCAGCGCTGCCTGGGCATTGTCGGTGCTGAAGTGGCTCTAGAAGAGACCCAGTGGCTGGATGGCCTTAGTCTCCTGCCCTTGGCACTGGCGACAGACATCCCTGTGCAGTATGAAAGCAGTGACGCCGACAACGCAGACAAGGGGCCTGATGAGAGAAGAAAGACTAGGTGAGTGAGGGACCCAGTCCAGGGCTCTGAGCAGAGGAGAAGCCTGTGAGTGGATGGCTGTAGAGCCACTTGAGTGTCCAGAGCCAGCTCTCCATTAATTTTAGGGATTAGCCTGATCCCAAGCTGAGCTGGTGTAAGGCCGCTCTTCTGTTCCTGTTTGCCTACAAAATGAACCCAGTGGTTTTAGTATTAATCCCATAGGGTAATGCAGGAAGAAATGAAAATCAAGTCAACCATGAGGGATGCAACCAGACTGTGGTAAAACACAGTGCTCCACAAGGCTGATCCATGTGGAAAGGTCACATGAGTGTGACCGAAGATATCCCCAAGTATACCAGGCATGCCATGCCTATGACCTGGGTCTGGCTAAGGCAGAGGTTTGATTGCAGTGTCAAGACCTGTTAGGGGCCCTGAATATCTCTCTCACTAATGGAGGAAGTAAATAAACCTTTTTAAAAAAAGTCAGTCCAGCTGGTCATATCATGGTTAAAGCAGCTGGATCTCACATGGCCTACTACACAGTTCTAATCTCAGACCTGGTGGCTTGAAAAAACATGCCAAGCATATGTGCATGCATGTTAAAATTCTGAGAGGAGAATGGAGAAGAAGTGATTGTGGGGTGGACATTCCCCCTGGGAGGCTCACTCACTCTCTCTCTCTTGCAAGCACACATGTCCTTTTGCAAATTATTGATTTTTTTTAAATAGTCATCCATGAGGAAGCCAAAGCTTCAGAAAGCAGCTTGGCCTTTCCAAAGTTTCTAGACTTTCTCAGATGGTGCCAGAAGCCTCCTTAGTTCCTTTTTTCATTCATTTGTTGTCACTGAGCCTCACCTCTGGGCCCACCATATTCTGGGTCCTAGATGCTGAGTGTAAGATCCTTCCCTCAGGGTAGTCCCAGGGAATGCTTACTGGCCTTCCCACATGTCTCTGTGAGCTCACCCAGTGATAAGGCGGAGCAGAGTCAGTAGCACTACTGGATGGGATTTTTTTTTTTTTTTGAGAGGTTTTTGCTAAAGGACACATGCGCGCACCAGAAAGACAGAGACAGAGAAACAGAAAGTGAGAAATCACCCTCCGAGGGGATGGCCATGCCGCAATCCCTTCTCCATTCTCCTCTCAGGATCTTGGGTATGCACGCACACACGCCTGGCGTGAGTTTAAGCCATCAGGTCCGGGACTCGAACCTCGGTCAACTACATGGGAGTCTAACAACAGCCATTATGCCAACTGTTGTTTCCCTGGATGGAATTTTATCTGGCCCTTCCAGGTTTCCTTAGATTTTTCTCTAAGTTTATGACTGGGTCATGTTTTTCCTGAAGCCTTCGAGGCCTACTGGTGGGCATATTGGCAGGCTCCTAAGACCCTGATTGAAGATGGTCAGTGCCAACAAATAATGCCTTCAATAGTTCCAGAAGACGATTCTTTTGTCAAAGAACTGTCTTGTGCCGTGAATGCAAGTTTCCTTTTCTGAAAAACCTAACCGAAATGACAGGCTGAGATGTTGGGAAGGGGTCAGGTTCTTTGTTCTCTGACTGAACCTGCAGTAAATCTCTGACATTTAGCTAATATGACTTAATTTTCACTAAGTTCTACAAGACTGGTTTCTGAGCATTTGTTTATTCAGTAACCACAGGGGACTTCAAGAAGCTTGTAGAAAGTGTATTTCAAATACGAGTTTACTCTGGTGCAAAAAAAAAAAAAAAATAGAAATTTATACATAATTTATAA